ATATACTGAGTATAATGACTTGTGAGATCATTACAAAAGTTATTATTTAATTATTACCAATTTAACTATGATTTGAATATTAAACCTTGAATTGGTATTATTGTGAGACCCCTTTTTCTCTTTTCCTTTTCTCTCCCCGACACTCTCCTCTCACTCATTCTTATTCCCACTCTTTCATTCTTACTCACTTGGCTGATTCTTCTCATTCCTTGGACTGAAGGTGGTGATTCAAGTTAGGCGGAGCTAGCTAATCCGTTTGGAGATTTCTTCCCTCAAGTTTCTTCTTCGTCTTCTCTCTCGTTCTTTTCTTCCCGAAGCTCGGAATCTTCTACCGTGGTAAGGGAAGCTAGTTACCTTGCTGTTTTTGGTTGGGAATGAGTCTTAGATACTCATTTGCTGCTTGTTGATGGATGATTTTTGGCTGAGATTGCTGAAAAATGATGAATTGGGGTTTTCGGGTTTTGTGGGGTTTTGAGGAAATTTTGGGTTTTTACTTGTTAAATGGTTGCATGTGAAAAAGGTTGGTGTTTTTGAACTCTTGGTTGAAAATATGAACTGTTGGCCGGATTGCATGTTGGATTTTCTGGATATTTTGCAGGATTTGGTGAAGTTTTTCGAACTTGATGGGTTGCTGATGAGCCTCGCGCTGAGCGCGGTTCTTCGCGCCGGGCGCGAGACCACCTGGGGGCTCCTTTTTGATAAGCCCACCGGGCGCAAAGATGTGTGCGCCGGGCGAGCTTGAGAAGGTGAGCCTCTGGTTGGCCCACGCCAGGCGGGTTAGGAATCGCGCCGAGCGCGCAGGAAATATTTTGGGTGGTGGTTCTGCGCTGAGCGCGACCCTAGATCGCGCTGGGCGCGAGACTCCTTGGGAGTCTCTGCCAGGAAGGCGCTGGGCGCAATTCAAATTACGCTAGGCGCGAGACCAAGGGGAGGTCTCTGCCTTCCCCTCATTGGGCGCGGGTCTAGGCACGCTGGGCGCGTGAGACTCCATGGAGTCTCTACCTAGTAAGCGCTGGGCGCAATTCTAAATTGTGCCAGGCGCGTGGGGGGGCCACGCCGGACGCGAGCGGTCTTGCGCTGGGCGTGCTGGCCCCTGGTGCTCTCTGGTTGAGCTGCGCTGGGCGTGACCATGGGTGCGCCGGGCGCGTATAAGGCTGATGACTTGATGTGTTTCTAGCTGTTAACTAAGCTGAAATTGATGAACATGCTGTGTTGTTTAAATGAAAATGTTGATATAAGATGTTAAGCTGTAATAGATGTAAATTGTTGTGCTGAGCTGGGCTGTTATTAATGATTTTAAAATGATGAACTATATGATATTGTTGTGCTCTAGAATGATGAGCTGAGTTGTAAGTAGTAAGCTGTGTTGAATACTACTTGGCTGTGCTGTATGCTGTTTTGGCTATGCTGTGTTGTGAGCTGTTTTGCTGTGCTGTTTATTGCTGAGCTGTATGATGTGTTATAGCCACTATTGTGGTGCTGTTATAGCCGCTATGTCGGTGCTGTTATAGCCACTATTGTAGTGCTGTTATAGCCGCTATGTCGGTGTTGTTGTTAGCCACTATTGTGGTGCTGTTATAGCCGCTGAGCGGTGCTGATATTGCTGAATTGCTGTGGTATAATATAAGCTGTGCGAATGTGCTGATAGCTGTAGCTGTTTATCATTCATATTTATATATGTATGTTGATTTCTGTACACTAGCTTACCCTTTGTTGTCTCCATGATGTTTGGACTGCAATGATCATACTATGTATGGGAGCAGAGCAGGGATAGGTTGGTGGCTGATGGTGAGTCTGTAGCTGACAGACGAAGCTGATCTGATTTGGATCTTTTGTTGTTTTAGTTACCGAGTAGAGTAGCTTTGATGTATTTTGTTGTACACTCTAACTCTAGTCGGATTGGGACCTTGTATATATATATTCTAGATCCTATATTATATACTCGTTCTATCTATCTGGTGTTTCTGGTGTGCTGTGTCGCGTGTAGTGACTAGCTGGGTCGTTACAATTATCACCTGTGTAATTTTTAAATAATTGATATTTATATTATTAATAAAATTTTTGTAATTTTTTTATGTTCTTTTTTATTGTTGTTTGTTTTTTTTAGATGAGATTGATATCAAAGCCATATGTGAACATCGATGCACAAATTTTATAAGACTATCTTTTGATGGTATAATAAAAGTGAAAATTATAATAAAATTGTAAATATTGTGGAAATCAAATAATTTGAATATAAATTAATTTTTTATTGTTAATTTTGAAATATTAGGTGGATGAAATCTTGAAAGGAAAAAAAAAGTATTTCTAAGTATGTTAAAAAAAATGTATTATGTATGTATATGATAAAACTTATTAAAAAAGATAAAATCTATTTTAATAATTTATATATAACAAAAATGAATTATTACATTAAAAAAAATGTGAGAGGTGAGAGTTTTAAACATAACAGATGGATTGTGAATGCTATTTAATAAGACTTTAAAAGATTCTAGTAGGGTAATACAATTTTCCCTAATATAGTGTTATTCTTTTTCAAATTAACATTATTTTAAACTTATATATAAAAGAGAAATAAAAATATCTTTCTTTAAAGTTAATAAATAAAATGGAACAAAAAAGAATACATACTTTTCAATGACAGCAGTTTGCCTTTGCCCTGGGTAACATCATCGCTCTTTAGCCGTTTCTTGTGGAATATTTCATCAATTAACTAAGAAACCTTAAATCTCAGTCTGGTCCAACCTTAATTACAATTTAACAAAAAATAATCACTTCTTTTATCTTATATTATTTATCTTTTAACTAAATAAATATTTTTTTAGATAACTATTAGTTACATAAATTATTATTAAAAATAATTATTTTAATAAAATATTTGTTTTAAAAATAAAACATAATTGTGAGATTATTTTTTAAAAATATAAAAGATATTAAATAATAAAAATATCATCACTATTAGGAAAAAGAAAACAGGTGAGACTAAAGTCTTAAGTCACATTAATTCTGAAACAGTGCTCAACTATATACAATCATATTAAATTATTAATCGCTCCAGTTTATGTCAACTAGTCAGTTGCCACTACAATAAATCGAAGTTAATGTCAATTTATTTGACTAAAATGCCCCCTCATACTCTATTGCATCAAATGTGGAATTTTATCATTGAAAACGGGACTATTTTGTTGAATTATAGTTTTATGTTCGTTGCCATCAGTATAACATTGGGATAATAAATTGAGTAAATTAAAAAAAAATAATCGAGTAAATTAATTATGTTATCATACTTCAAAAAAAAATTATATGAGAAAAAAATTATAGACATAAATATAAAATATTTTTACATAATTATTTTGATTATAAGTTATAATGATCACATATTATAAATTTATTAATTTTCATAATAATATTTTTAAAAATTATATTTATGATAAGTTTTAACGGGAAAGAAACCAGCCATCTCGAGGGAGGCTAAAATTAAAATTATTATTATTATATATTGAAAATAAACAAATATTACAAAAAAAATAATATTTATATTTAATAATTTTATTTAAATTTTTTTAATTTAAAATATTAACAAAGTGTTTTATTTGAGTTATTTTATATATAAATACATGTGGATGCACGCAATCATAATTATTAATTATAAAAATTATATTATATTTATTAATTTTCTTTAAAAATTGTTTTCATTATAAAGAAAAGTAAACAGCTAATATAAATTATAGATTTTTTATATTTAAATTTTTAGGTTACAATATAAAATTAATGATAAATATAAAAAAAATATAGTGTTTATATGATAATATTATTTAAAAAAAATTAATATGATTAATAATTTAATATGATTATATTAAATACATAATTATATTTTAAATTTATAAT